ATATATATATATATTGATTATTGTTATCATCATCTCACTAATTATCAATTTGATTATGGGACGAACAAATAGTGAAAAAAGGTGCAAATGAGAGAGAATGAACAAGACAGTTAATGAATGACTTACAATCCAATCTGATATAGTTTGTCAAGTGTTTCTTTCTGTTGATATATATTATTCATTCTATCAAAGTAAAAAAGAGGTAAAGAAGGTTAATAGACATATAAATATAAATGTCAACTCTCAAAATTGTCATCATAATTATCTATAACAATAATAATATAATATACAATAGAAGAACCTTTTCTCTCTTTCAAGTTCAGTGGCCAAATAATTAATATAATGATTGAGTCGATTAATTTCATCTAAAAGATAACATTCTTTTGTTTTCGTATTTTTTATATGGGAGACAGCTTTTTTGTAGGATTGAATAATTATTAATTATATGGTCACGTGTAAATAAACTAGAAAAAATTATTAAGGTGATCATTTACTTTTTTGAAGCAACAATGCCTTACTCATCTTACGACTATGGTTAAAAATTGGTAAAAGACGTCGAAGGTCTTCAAATCCATCTTTGATTTCTGCACGTCTTTTCTGTTCAGATTGAATATGCATTTGACGACGTATTTCAGCATGTGTTGATCGACTAAAAGCAACACAATTGTTAATTTCCAAAAACGTGACAAAGTTACTCTCTCATATGTTAAATTTCTTTATTAAATAATAAAAATTTTTAGTGCTCACTTATTGATATTAATATTGTTACTGATATCATCATCGTCATATCCATCCAACGAAGAAGCAGTATCACAATCTTCGACACGTATTTGTGTTTGTTTTCTTCGTCTCCTATTACAATTATTAACACCAGTTTTAGAACTTTCATATTTTTCTCTATCGTATTGTTTAAATTCTGTAATATCTAGATGTTCGCCCTGTGGTAGTTGTGATGGCGCAATTATGTCACGAAAATCATAACAAGCGAGTAGTGGCGAGGAAGAAAAGATTGGCGGTTGAGGAGCAGGTGATTGTGGGAATGGATGTGATAGAAGGGGTTGTTGGTGCTGTTGTAAAGAAGGTTCAGAAGAACTAGATATAGTTGATTCTAATCATGTAATATTATAAAAATTAAGTAAAGATAAAAATAATAGTCTTGGATTAATAGAATAAATCATCATTATATTATGAATATTAATCGTATGCATTTTATGCATATATAATTATTTTGTTACGAAAATTTTTTTTCAGTCACGTTTAAAAAGTCTGTCTTCTCACTTTAGACACGCATATTTCCCATCTTTCTCGTGTTTTAAAAAACAAAATCTTTTCCATTTCCATAAAATTCAAAAGAAAGATAAGAAGGAAGGAGAAAGAGAAAGGCTTACTTACCTGTATTACCTGTAGCAAGGAGAGGAGGGAGAGGAGGACTCTGGGAAGCTTCAGTTGACACGATATAATTTTCGTTGAATTGTTGAAGCATATTTAATAGTTGTCTCTTCAATATATATATATTAATTATAAAAAATTAGTTAAATTGTTCTTTTTTTTTAATATTATTATTATTAGTGTGTAGATCCTTCATTCTTAAAATTTTAAAAAAAGTAGTAGATCTTTCTTCATCAAGAAGAAATAAATAGTGAATTTTATATTGTGCTTAAATCCAAAATTAGTAAAAGTTAATGAGATTTTTTGCAAAATGAGGAAATGATTTGTGTGTAGATAAAAAGAGTGATGAGAAAGAAAAATAATTACTGCACATATTTGCACGAGTATAATTGAAACAAACAATTTAATTAATTACATAAGCCACCGCTTGCTTATATTGATTAATAGTGTGAGAGACCCACTTTTTTCAAAAATTTATTTGCCCTGAAGGCTTCTGAAACCTTGATTAAAAAAGTTTTTAAAAGAATTTGGTTAATTCCCGAAAAAACAATTTTACAATGTCAATTATGATAAATTGTAAGAATGCGGAAAGGTTTAACCAACGTGTACAAAGAAATCCACTTTGACTAATTACGAGATATAATAATAACAAATGAGTGACATTCTCGACAGGAGGGCAGACGATTCACATTATCTTTTCGAAACTGTTACGTATCAAACATCAACATCAGTAGTAGCATTCATTTATCAAAAAGTATATAATAGATCCAATTCATCTAACATTCTTATTTTTATTATATCTTTATCTCCACCCCCTCCCCCATCCATCCATCAAATCATTATATACATTACAAATCGACTGTTGTTGTTAATAAATCATCCATCATACTGACTGACTCACATCTAACCTTTATTCAAATATTCCTTTGGCCAACAATTCTCACGACAGTTTTCCTGGGACATCTTAAAGATGATTATAGCTTAAACTGTTATCTTGGATATCTTGGATATATGATTTTTTTGGTGTTGTTGACTGACGATAATAAAATAAGATTATGGTATTGAATATTATAAATCCTGGAGGGTTTTGACATGTAAACATAATTAATGTATTTATATATATATGTAAGTATAATAATATTATTAATATGATTTACATCTTGTGAGTACGTGGCATTTGTTCATTTAATGATTGAGATTGCTCATAGATTACCTGAATGGGGCATAACGAGATCAAACAGGATCTTTATTTGAAGTTGGATGAGTGTTGGCAAAAAGCTGTCAGAGAAGCTGCTAATAAAATGGTGACGAATAAATACACGGACAAACTGTTGGGTTAGAAGATAATCATTTGATGTTTTTATTGGGAGGGTGATCTTACTATATGTATCCACTTATCCATCATATTATAACAGTCAGTCTTGAACAACAGAATAATGATTCGATATAATTTTTCAACAATCATTGAATGGTCTTTGTGTGCAGTACATTTTCGTCACGACATCATTCCTCCAAGATTATAAATATTATAATTTACAATAGATACATATAATTTATAATCTATCAATTCGATGCGTGCATGGATCACATGATATTTAATTTTTTTGTTTGTTTATACGCGTTCCTATTACATTCATTGTAAGAGTGGTGGGGTGGTCAAACCTTTTAATTAAAGAACCCTTTATTATAAGTAACTAGTTAATTAGTAATAATACGCGTGATTAAATAAAAATATCAATTAAGAAACTAGCTAAAAAAATATTAATTAAACATTAATAGAAATTCGATTCCAGAACCATCGTCACCTTTATCAATATCACTGAAAATTACAGATCGGAAAATATCTTTATAAAAATTAAATCCAACAAGAGTTAAATAAAATCAGACCAATAGTATTAATAGTAAGTACATAGTATGTATGATAAATAATTCGTCTTCTTTCAGCCATTTGTTAGAAAACAAGTCACGTGAATGAATCTTCCTGATATAGATACTAATACTAATACACAGACAGATAAATGTCCCATAACAATAAATAAATATACCTTATTTTCGTCAAATATTATAAATAATGCTAGAACATGATGATGTTATGAAAAACGCCGTATTGTTTTGGTTATCATAACTTTATAATTAATGATCGTGCCAATTCCCAGATGTCGAATTGAAAAATAACAAATTATCAAAGGTATCATTTATTTAATACCATCCATCAATTTCATTTTATTTATTTAAATTTTAAATTTATTAAATTGTACGCGATGAATTTAAACGTTGTCAAATGTTTTTGCCTCATCATTAACAATATGTGTACTTGACACAGATTGAATATTCAAAATTCGAAAACTGGATTAGAAAATGCAACAACATCAATCTTGGTTGTTATTGTTGTTGTTAACTGGTCCGTGACCCTCTTTTTTGGGGATTTAAAAAATCCGAAACATAATTCTTATTTGGTTCCAAAATTTTTATTTTATTCAAATATTATGATAAAGAGGGTATTGGCTATATTAAGCCGGCGAGTTCAAAAAAATTGATTCTATCGATATTAAAGCATAAATTATCCGAGACCATACCTGAATGGTGCCGCTCAAATGAGTAACTTTATGGGGGCTAGACCAAGATTAACTTTACCTATTTATAAAAAATTACACCATCTACTATATACAAGGAAAAAAAAACAAAGGGTACGACGAGGCTCATAAGCACACACCCCTGAAACAATATTAAGATTAGATTTCAATTTTTAATACTAGTCATTAATAATTGGACATGTGATTAACGATGCACCATAGAAACATTCGTTTACGTCAAGAACTTTTCTAATGGAATATTGGCTACGGATTTGAGCAAATAAGAACATTTATCCTGCAACCTTTCTTTTCTACTTGCTCCTTATGCTGTTATTTCGTTTTATTCTTAAATTCATAAAATATTTATTAAATAAATTACATTGCTAGAAATGTAAGCCTGTAGAAAAACCTTGGTCGGCTAAACTGAACAACTCTTGGAACTTAAATAAATACCAATTGATGAAAATTTCTTAATATCAAGCTTTCCGGGACTCTATTGTTACAGTCAGTGCTCTGTATAGTGAACCGTACGATATAACGAGTTGGGGAATATTATATATAAATTCTGCTCGATATAGTGATTTTCGATATAGACTCTCGATATAATCATATAGTAAAAATTTTACTTGGTAAACTAGAGTGAGAGCTTGAAATTTTTGTCGATCATGTCGCAATTGGATTAATAACGTGTTGCGCGAAAAATAAATTGAATTTAATAACGTGTTGCGAAAAACAAAGTAATTGGATTCAAATAAAAGAACTAGGAAGCGTGATTTTGCTGTTTTATAATAATTTATCAAAGAATTATTTCAGCTAAAATTATTTTCAAAAAAAGAAAGATTTTGTCTTGGGGCGAGAAAAAACAACTTTGTGAACTTAAAATGGAAGAAATCCACCATTCACATATCAGTTAATATAAAGAAAGAACTTGGCCAAAAATTCGGACTGCTATTTACAGCATTTTAAAAGATAAAGATAAATACTATTCCATCAATCCTAATGATGCCAACAGACAAAAATGATAAAGCTGCAAAATATCCTGATGGTTCAATCAAGCACTTTCAGGTAAAAGAGTAATTACAATCTGATATAATTCTTGTTAAATCAAAGAATTATTGATTGTGTAAGACCGACAGCTGAATCTGGCTGAGACAGAGGATGAATTATCAATTGTTAAACTACAAAAAAAGTATTAAAATCTTTAGAAATTGACTGTCCTTATATTCAAGATCCACCTGAAAATCTTACTTTTGGATTAATTCAATGAAAGCATTTAAAAAGCCACATATCTAGCCATACTGTTCTTTAGAAAAAATAAAGCAAGCACACCAGATAGTTGGATTACTAAATAATTACTTTATATTTATTTTTAATAAAGTTGTATCGCGGGGGTTTTTTGTCGATCTTTTGATATAATGAATCACACTATATAGATAGTTCTATCGAGCGCCGACTGTAATTATTAATCTCCTTTTTCGTAATTTTGGGTCACATAAATGCACATTTATCTACTATTATCAATAAAACTAAATTAAGCAAAATGAAGGAATTTTTTGGTTTAACAATGTTTGCAAAGGATCAGATAATTTCACAACATCGTTAGCAGAAGTAGCAATGTTTTGTTGAATATCAAAATCTGATAATAAAGCATCTTCTAGAGCTTTGATTTTTTCAAACAAATAATTCTTTCAATAAATTCTGGCTTTTCACTGTTAATATTCTTTCCCGCAAATAATAATTCAATTGGTGTCACGTGCAACCAATAAAACGTTTGTTTCCTTAAACGCACACGGGGGTGGCGCACTTAGGGGGTCTACTAATAATAATAATGTTTATGTTAGATTGATTCTGGCTTGTAATAAATAATCAAATGCAGTGCTTGGTACTTGAGAAATTAATTAAATTATTAAAATTAGTGACTATTAATTGCATTATTGTAATTAGAAAAAGACCAAAGTTGATTGAAGAATTAAATATTTTATCTTTTTATTTCAATCTTCTAATTTTAATAACACTGCTATGCAAAGTAATTTATATAACGTTTTAATCAATCTTTGCCTATCATTAGCAATATAACCATATTCTAAAAAATTTTACCCATGTAGAATTGATTTTGGAGCCAAGACTTGTTTCGCGGGGTCCAAGGCACTCTTTATTTTCTATCAATGATTTAATATGTTGATACAAGTTTTATAAATTGATACTAGTCGTTAGAAATAGAGATTGAAAAATAAAAACCAGTAAAAAGCATAGTAATTAATGCATTAAGTTACCTTGAATTGAACAAAATTTAACTGATAACAATAAAAATCGTGCTGTACCCGAATACTTGAATGCTAGTTCAAAAGCTACAAGAATATCTTTTATTGATTTTGCACCAGATAAGAGATTATAACAATAAGATATTGAACTTTGTATTGGTTGTCAAATAAATCATTCTCATTTAGCAGGCCAAATATTCAGATAATCTTAAAGAGGCAAGGTAATTTTTGAAGCCTTTTTTTTGCATTTGATAATTCCACAAATCATGGCTCTTATAAAAAAGATGCTCTTATTGCTAATAGGGTAAATTTAGGTCCATGTGAAAAACGAGAAATGCAACTTTGGACCTGACAAAAAAATCGCACAGCCTATTACTATGGTCTTTAAGGATGACCGCCAAAAGGAATATGAAGGAAGTGGTAGATTCTAGATTATGTAAATGTTGTAAGTAAAAATAGAATAGGTCGTTGTACTTGCATACTCCTATTATTATATATAGCCAGGTTTTGTTAATCAGAAGAGTGCAACGGAAGAAAAAATTTTAGAGGCAGGTCACTTGTGTATTTTCTACCCCAAGTTTCCATAAAAAAATTTTTTTAAATTGCGTGTTTGAGAAAAATTACCAAACTTGGTAATTTTCTCCAACTAGCCTAGCCAATCACGGTGTGGGTCAAACTTTGACTGGGTTTGGGTCCTGTCTGTTTCGTCAAATTCTTATGCAGGCCCTTAATAATTTCACATGATATAAATTTTTTTTAATTCATGGGGGAAGGAGATTAGAAAAAATTTTTTTTTAAAAAAAAAAGTGAAAGGATAAAATTAGTTTTCCTAGTCTTTCCTTTAATTTTCGTAAAAACCCCTTTTTCGAATTTATTTATTACGTGATAATAAAGAGAGCGGGCTAGGTAATATTTGAATTATAAAATATAAAATTAAATTTTGGAAGGACAAATACCTAAGACAGCTCAACCAACCCCTTCCCCACTTCAACTGTCTTTTTTTAAATAAATTCTACCTTTTCTTATTTACCTTTCTTTTATTTATTATTTTTTAACTTTAAAAAAAATTTTTTTTTAAATTAAAAATAATATCTATAACATAACACATATATATATTTTTTATTTCCTCAAGTGTCTGTTGAGTACCCTATATATACAAATCTTTCATATATAAATAAATATACATATATATTTATTTAACATAATAATAAATTATAAGCATGCAAACTATAAAGTGTGTAGTTGTGGGTGATGGTGCTGTTGGCAAGGTGTGTACATTTATATAGAATATTTGGATTATATTTATACCAGCAGTGCTATTTAGAAAGTATTTATTAAATGGTTAAGGAATACTTTTTTGTGTTGATCAAACAATTTAAATCGTTGAGTTGGATTTTAAGGAAACTTTATTTTACAATCAGATTGACCTTAAATAATTTTATACGAGGCAATTGGATTATACGGTGTTAATATAACTTGTAATAATTACTTCAACATAATTATAGTTTACAAAAAAAAAGGACTTTAAATTGGTGTAGATTAAAGAATTTAATGATTGATGAGAAACGATTAAATGAAATAAAATATTATTATTACTAAAGATTACAAATCGTATATTGATATTTATATTCTCTCTCTTCTTTTTCATTTGATTATTAGACTTGTCTATTAATCTCGTATACAACAAACAAGTTCCCTTCCGAGTATGTCCCTACAGTAAGTAATCTTTTTCAATCGATCAATCTGTTAATCTATTAATAAATCATTAATCAATTCATTATCTAAAAATTATTATTTTTACATTATATTAATCTCTAATGTTATTTATTATTAAAATATATTGTAGGTTTTTGACAATTATGCAGTGACAGTGATGATTGGAGATGAACCATACACATTGGGATTATTTGATACAGCTGGTTCGTAATGGTTATAATTTAAAAATTAAAAAAATGATTTTTTTTCTTGGAAAAAAAGTTATTAAAAAAAAAAAAAATTTAATAGAAATCATAATAATGATATTGATAACGATAATCTATATTTCTAATTAATATAATTAATATATATATGTGTGTGTGTGTGTGTATAATTTTATAGGTCAAGAGGATTATGATCGCCTTCGTCCACTTTCTTATCCTCAAACAGATGTTTTTCTTGTTTGTTTTTCTGTAACTTCGCCAGCTTCATTTGAAAATGTTAAAGAAAAATGGTTTCCGGAGGTTCATCATCATTGTCCAGGAGTTCCATGTTTAATTGTTGGTACTCAAGTAGATTTGCGTGATGACCCTGGAGTGGTTGAAAGATTATCAAGACAAAAGATGAGACCTGTAACTTCTGAACAAGGAGAAAGACTTGCCAGAGAATTAGGTGCTGTAAAATATGTCGAGTGCTCGGCTTTGACACAAAAGGGTTTGAAAAATGTTTTTGATGAAGCAATTGTTGCTGCTTTGGAGCCACCAGTAACTAAAAAATCACGTAAATGTTTGGTGCTGTAAAATTTTTGGAAAATTTTATTTTTATATATTTGTAGTTTTAATAATTATAATTATAATAATTATAATTATTTATATTTATATTTAAAAAAATATACAATATTATTTTATTATTTTTTATTTTATTTTATTTTAATTTGTTCCTTCCCTCACCCTTTCCTCATCCTTCCATCCTTCCATCCATCCTTCTTCCTATACGCAATAAATTCAAATTCATCATCTAATTTATTAATTAAAGTCAATATTATCATTGTTATTATTGTTGATTGAATTTTAAGTAAGATAATGGATGAATGATTTGAGTAGAGAAGCTTTAGATTTAGGCAAAAAAAAAAATTTTTTTTAATTTGCTCTTTAATTTATAATTAATATTTGATTTACTTTATTTTTTTTTTTTTAATACACATTTTTTTTGATTAATTCTCGTAGAAATTATCTTTAATTATTAATAATGGATTTTTTTTCTATATAAATTAAATTCATTAAAATTGTATTTTTTATAAGATATACTTTTATATAATAATAATTATGCACTAACATCACAAGAAAATCATAACTGATAATAATAATGACAATGGATTAAAAAAAACTTTTTTCATTCTTTTGCCTGAAGATATTAAAAACCTTCCTTGGCCTTGAATTTTCTGGGAGAAATTCTGGGTCCTGTTTCAGGACGAGAAGAGCTAACTTTTTTAAAATATTAATTATGTGAGCTGTCACTATTGATGATGATGCATATTATAAAACAAATAATATCTATCTATCTAATAAATTACTTCTAATTTGTATATATATTTTATTTAAAAACTGTTATATATATTTTACAACAATGATTAATAATAATATTTTTAAAAAACCCCATTTATAACTTTATTTTTAGCAATGGATATGTTCTTTTTTTGATCGGAAGATCCCAACAATATGGTCCAAAATCTGATCCAAATTTATATTGTAGAAATTTCCTAACACCAAGATCAGGATCAGTTTCAATAAGTTGATTAATATATGACATTACCTCTGGTTTCTTGTGAAGTTCTAAATCAATGATTGCTTTTAGCGCTGTTATTCGAACATTTATATAATTATCATATCTATTAATCAATTGAATCATTTAATATTTATCGATATTGTAAAATAAAATATTTTTTAAAAAAACCCAATTTACATTGTATAAACCAAAAGTTCTTTTCCATCAACATTGATCACTTGGCTCATCATCAATCTTGCTTTTGCCTATATAATCAATATATTAATATATTATTAACATATTATTCAAATAAAAAAAAACCCAAATCTGGTATTTATTTCAAACAACCAGATTCAAATATTCCAAATAAACCTAATGAATTTTATGAACCAAATGCAAGTATAATTCAATCATTCTTGAATAAAATAAAATTCTACTCTAATCAAATTAATTATATAAAAAAATATTGTCAATTGGCAGGATGAACCATTTGTTTATACAATACATAGACCAATTCCTGGTGCAACGAGATGTTGGCTTCCTTGTCTTGATCGTTATCAGGATAAATGTACTTGGGATTTTTTCATCACCGTATCAGATATTGAAAATTTCGATAGAATGATGGTAGTTACCAGCGGAAATTTATTAGAGATTGTAAGGAATATATTTATTATTATCCAAAAAGTTTATTATTATTTAATATTAATATCCTTGCCATATATACACACACACATGTATTCATAAATTTGTATAGATTGAATCACCTAATAATCACCATAATAAGAGATTGTTTCATTATAGGCTGCCTGTGCCAATTCAAGCTCAACATATTGGATTAGTTTGTGGACCTTTTCGTTCTCCTTACATTTTACATTATCCAGGTGAAGACGATCTACCAGAAAATAGACCACTTATTACTGCTTATTTCTCTTCAAGATGGGAAGAATGGATTAGACCGACACTTTATCCTAATCAGGAGGGTGCTGATACTTTTTGGATACATTGGGTATACATACAAATCACACATATATCCACATCAATAAAAAAAACTTTTACCTCGTTAATTTATTTCTACTTACCAAAAGTTGCCTATTTTAAGGCATTTGATTATTTTATCGAAGGGTATTCTCACTTTAAGATCCATCCCGAGTTTGACAAACGAAACCCAAAAGTTAAACCTGGAAAATTTCCATTCAATTGTTTTCATATAGTATTTGTTGAAAATGCTTATAATGATATTACAGTATGTGCTGGGATGGTAATATGTCGGTATGTATATTTATACATCTAATGCTTTTTTGAATAGAATTCAACCGTCAATAGTAATAGTTATTTCAATCATAACATCAATATATAGTACAAGTTTATTATATAATGAGCATATAATAGAACAAGTATTTGTCACGAGGCGTCTTTTAATAAATGCAATAGCTCAGCAATGGTTTGGAATTTTTATTCCTCCTCATTCATGGTAAAAAATTTTTTTTGTAAAATTGTCATTTTAAAAAAATATTAATTTAATTATTAATTTTTTTGTCATAATTTTTTGCCTTTTAGGCGTGACTTTTGGCTTGCAATCGGTTTATCAAATTATTTTACAACCATGTATCTTGAAAAAATATTTGGCGAACAAGAAATTCAATTATCACGCAAACTTGTAAGTTAAAATTATAATTATTAATTAAAAAAATAACCTGAATATTATTAAATTTATACATATATACATACATATTTAGGATATCGATAAATTATGCAATCTTGATGTAAACCAACCACCATTATGTTCATATGGTTATGAGACACCAATTGAAACAAGAGAACTGGAGTTTCTAAATTTAAAAGCTCCACTTGTTCTTTGGATGCTTAACAATATATTGCCATTTTTTGATTATCATCGTGGAATACTTGGAATTATTTATTTGATATTGAACCGTGCTAAGGAAACATCCTACCATAACTTTAGACCTGGTTATCTGGAAACCAAAGAATTTTTCAATTTGTGTAAAGATGTTATTCGCCAAGAACTCCGTGATGAAATCAAACAATTTAAAAAACAATGGATATACGGGTCTGGTTGTCCTATTTTTAAAATCAATGCTAATTTCAACAGGAAAAAGATGACGGTTGAATTTAAATTTGTACAACAAAATTCGAATTTAGTTCATTCTGATTTGGAAAAGAAAAAATCAAATGATAAAAAATTAACAACTACACATGCCGATGATCACAAAAAGCATACTTCCTTATTCACTGTATGACTATTATATATAATCCATAGATGATCTTAATATTTGTTTAATATAGAGTATTAAATATGATTGAAAATTTTTAAATAGGGACAGATGGATATTGCTATTAATGAACCCGATGGTGTAGAATATATTCATACTATCTATATTCGAGAGAAGACTGAAACATTTTCACTTCCATATCATACCAAATATAAACGGTCCAAGATAACTCTTAAACCTAGATTTGTAAGGAAAAGAGGAACATTTGATTCCTATGTTCCGCTCGAATTAATAGAAGAACAATCTAGAATTTATCCTGTTCTTTGGGGAATGGATCCAGAATTTAATGAAAGAGATGAATGGAAAATTATTGAATGGGCTGATCCGTCTCGTCAACAGAGCACTAGGTATCGATTATATATATATATATATTCTGGGGGGTTATTTTTTTAAAAAATAATTTTTTTTCGAAATCGAATCTTTTTTTTTTCA